CCCCCCCCCCCCCCCCCCCCGTAGGTGTCTCTCCGCCCAGCAACACACCGCTCACCACCAGCTGTGACTCCCCTGCACTGGGCTGCCCAGGTAGGACAAACTAACACTGTGAACGTCTTCAGCAGCAGCTGCTCCTGAAACAACCTGACCTGTGTCGTCTTTAATCCACCGATCATCTCAACATCATACGTTTCACATGAAGCGTTTACTTCTTCATCTGGAGAAACTAAAATATGCTCAAAACAACGGTGCCGACTGTGACCAGCAATCACTGATCAAGAGATAGTTAGACGTCCAGGTTCAGCTTACTCTTAATGTATAGTTAGTACATCAGTTATTTAAATAACAGCTCCATGTTAGTGAGATGTCTTCTCCTCTGGAACAAGCAGAAACATGTTCGACTCACTCCTCGTTGTTTTCATGTAATAACTTCTTACATAGATTGACTGATCAGTAACATCGTCAGCACTACAAGGAGCAACACGGGGAGACACGGTGTGGTGATTGACTGCAGGTCTGAACCGTATCGATCCTCTGCTCTCACTAAGACGTCTGTGATGATGAGCAGCATCTGTCCAGTGGACCTCGTGTGTTGTTAATAATAGAAAACAGGTGAAAGAAGGTGAAGAAGATGAAGTAAGAAGAAAAGATGGTTACATATCATAACGCGTCATGTCAGCGTTATTCAGCTGATCTCAGTCCAGTTACTTTCACGTGTCATTGACGTAGCTTTTATCTCCACCTACACGCCCGGCGAGCGCTTGGAGTCGGGGGGGTTTCTTTGTGTGTTCTAGTGTGGACGTTTTGAAAACGTAGAAGAAAATGTCCTTTTAAAAAAAAGTCTAAAGTCTAAGACGAGAATTTGTGTTCATGTAAATGCGTCCTGACTTTTAAGGCTCTTTATTACGTCTTCATCTCAATCTAAGAGCAGGTAAGTCTCTGTGGGTGATAGTATTGAGCTCTGCTGTGTTTTCTGTCACACACACCACACACTCGGGTCATCATGGTCCTGCTCACCTGGTCTCAGATTTCATGACACAACACTGTTGTGAATAGAACCTGCAGCAGTGGTTTGCTGCTGTAGACCTGGACCTGGTCCTGTTAGAGGTTCTGCACTGAAGACGATCATGCAGCTTCACAACCATTCATCATCTGCTGCATCTGTCTCTCTCTCTCATCCCCCCCCCCAGCCGCTTCCTCTCCCGCCACCACTGACTCCACTAACACCATCCATGCTACTAATGCCATCAGCCACGGTAAGCCACCCTCCTCCTCACCCTCTTACGCCTCCTTTATTTCCTTTATCACCTCTTCCTCCACTTCTTTCCACCCCCTCGCTGTCCTCTCTGATGATCCTCGAGGGTTTATCTCTTGATCTATGTCAATGGCAGCTACAGCCCTGGTAGTCCTCTTTTCTTCTGCCTCATCATGTAAATACATTCAGGACTCACCTCAGATCTCATTTACAGTTCATCACCAGAAACAATTGTCCTCGATGGGTTTTTTGGGAGTCTTTGCTCATAAGAATACGAACCTCCTGAAGTTGTGCCAAGTTTGACATTTTCATGAAAAGTTGCTCGGAACTATTTGACTTTGCGTGCACCTCATTGGTTTGTTCTTTCTATTCATGATCTAGCTGAGAGGAAGCTGATGAACTGGTCCATGTGAACGTGTTTGACTGAGACTAGATCAATATCATCTACCGCTGCATTAAGAAATGACTTCATCAAATCTTTTCATGAGCTTATTAACCTCCCTGTCATTCATTTTTCCATGTGCAGAGTTGAAATGGGAAATGAATGGCCCCACACATTTATGAAAGTCAGCTCTTGTTCTTTGATTAGCATAATAAGGACTTTTTTGTTCTAACAAAGAAAAGTGCCGTTCACTGGAATTTTAAATATCTAACTGAAGTAGAAATGAAGTAGTAGTACTCTCTACTTTTTAACACAAACATGCAGGAGGAAAGGTTTGTTGGAAGTATGAAGATTCTGCACACGAGCGTTGGGCCGTGCCTGAGTTCAGCATTAAACCATTTTGTTTTCCATGTGTGGTCCATCTCGCTCTGCTGTATCCTTTGATTTGTGATCTCCAGTTCTCCCTCCCATCACTCCATCTCCACCCACCATCCCTACCGCTAGCATGCCACTAACCCCAACCAGCAGCACCACCAGCAGCTCAATCAGCTCCCTCTCCTCTGGTAAGGCTGCATCTGCTGCGCTGCTTTGTTGTTTGCCACGAGCATCTCTAGACTCTCCATGCAGATAAGAACAAAAAGAGTTATTACTGAATGTTTTTATTTGTTGGATTCAGGATAGAATAGCTCAGAACTAAAGTGTTCTCGATGGAAGTCCGGACGTATTTTAAAATATTTTTGAGGATTCTCTTTTTGCTATATTATTCTCGTCTCAGTGTGACTCCACTCATAGTGACACAAACTAACGTTAAACAATGAGTGCTTGGTTTCAGAGGAAGACAAAGTCATTGATCATTGGCTGTCAAATTGTGTGCGACAAAAACAACAAACTTTAACTCCCAAGATGCTTTTGGGACACCCAGTTTGTGCACCAAATGTCAAAAAGGCTGATCTTGATCAACCTTTTTTTTTCTTCTCTGAATCAAGAAAGACTTTTGAGATTGATCCTGAAAACAAACAGGATTGGAACGTGTCCCATTAACGCAGTGTGCTTGTGTGTGTTTGTGTTACTGACATAACAACTTATTGTGCTAATCAGTTACGCCTACCACTACCATCACCGTCACCAGCAGCGCTGCTATCCCTGCATCTCCTGCCACTAACGTTGCTTCAGCCAGCAGTACATCACATGGTAAGGTAGCTAACCAGTAGTGTCACAAGCTGACGTCGTACGTCAGGCTTCTGATTGTGTCCTGCTCATTGATAACAAACAATTATTTTATTTATTTGGTTTTTGCTTACTTATTTGTATTCTCCCGAATATTTTTCGTATCTTGAAGTGTAAGTATGAACAAAGTATTCATGGAGAGGTGAAATACATCAACTCTTCACAGCTAGTCTGTCCCACTAGGTTGTGACAGAAGGTAACAGAACAGAAGCTACTTGTTTTTTGGATAATGTGCCTACAATGTAGCAGTGTTTTTAAGTAGATGTCACTGCAATGTAGCTGTGTTTTTAGGTTGATGTGCCTACAATGTAGCTGTGCTTTTAAGTTGACGT